ATTTCCAATCACTGATCCTCGCTTCATCTCCTCCGGGAAAGAATAGCTCATGTCTCCATACGTGGCATGGAACCAGAGAAGGAACAAATAAATCCCACACGTCTGAACACAGGAGATTTTCAAATCCATAGTGAACGAGCAAATACAAACTGGTTACGATTAGCAAAAAACAAATTAAGCAGCAACCCAACAAAACATGCCAGCAACTGCAAAACCCGGGTTTCTTATCCGTATTCCGACACAAGATACCAAGAATACGTGTCTAAAGAATATGGGGATAGATTTTTGTACATCTAAAGGCTGGTGTACAGCGCCACCGCGAGTTAGAAATAAAAAAGCACCAATAGTTAGAACTAATAAACCTCTACTTTTAAATTCACCCCTAAATATTGTTTAAGCATATCATTATGTGGATCATATATCCATCATAAATTCGTAATATATATATATCATCAAGATTTTTAATAAAAACAGCAATTAGCCTAACTATATTGCACCATAAAATATAGCACACATCTTCCTAAATGTATGATTTGCTCTCAGATCTGTTGGAGACTCATTTGGTGTGATCACACAATGACGTGTCATCGTAGACAAAATATTAAGGTCAACTTGTTAAATTCTGGCCAGAACCTTTGTAAAATTCCACCTCAGCAAAAACATTCCCAGTGCCTTTGTGATTTTATCCCGGGTGATAATGGAACATTCTGAAGTAGTGTGATTGATTGCCAAAAAGGGTCAACTCATTTTTTTGCAGTCAAATACTGTAGCAGCTATTTTTCAGTGTTGCTGCTATTTTGTGAGTTGTATCTTGTCAAGAAAAAGTCGATTCAAGAGCATCTGAGTTCTTTTCATTATTTGAGATGAAATCCATACCTGTAAGATTAGTTATTTTCTATTCTAAAATCTTTTGTAACGCTCTGCATTGATAACTAAAGAGTAGAAGGTTTAATTGGTGATATACACACATTATAAATACATGTATATAATAAAAAATATGACTCATTTGGGGGGTCATCACACAATGACATGTCATCATAGATCAAACATTAAAGTAAATCCTGGTCTGAAACTTTGAAAGATTCCATGTCAACAAAAATATTCTCCGTGCCTTTGTGATTTTATTCCTGGTGATAATGGAACAATCTGAAGTTGTGTGATTGATGGCCAAAAAGTGTCAACTTATTTGTTTGCTGTCAAAGAGTGTAGCCCTTTCTTTCCCACTGTTGCTGCTATTTTTTCTGATTTTGTGAATTGTACCTTGAAAAGAAAATAATAAATTCAAGAGCATATGAGTTCTATTAATTATTTGAGACGATATCATAACTGTAAGAGGTTGTTTTTTCTTATTTTAAAAACTTTTGTAATGCTCTGCATTGATTGCTAAAGTGTTTTAAGGTTCAAGTGGTGATATATATATACACACATTATATATGTATATACATATGAATGTATACATATACACACAAATACATACACACACACATATATATATATATGGGTGTACTAATGCGGAAAAAATAATATTGTTTCATAAAAATGACAATATTTCTGATTTAACATAGGGAATTCAACAATTATTTCAGTTTCACTAAGTGTGTATTCAAGAGTGAATAAACTAACAAGCTGAAGAGTAAAGATAAAACTGAAAGGACCTTTGGCAATCTAGAGCAGAGTACAAAGATCAATTAAAAAATTTACCACGTAAAAAGTGAGACTGCATCAAATAACAGATAAGACAGAACATTTTCCGCAATAAATACAACCCTACAGGTTAGATATTATCATTGATAAACTTTTAGACGTTGACAAACCAAAACTCAAAACCCAAAAAGCACAGAAATATTGATAAGGTGTTGTGAACATGAAAAAGGTTCCTAACCCTACATGTTTACATAACCTGATAAAAAAAATGTGTCTACTTTGGCCTCCAGAGAATATAAATTGTTCCATGAGTCGTTTTAATGAAACCGTTTTCAGCTCAGACAGAAATTCTGAAACTAGATGTCCCTAAGATGCAGTCAGTACTCACAATGCGACCAAAAGAGACACATAAGTGAGGACAACAGATGAAGAAGTGATGGACTATGAGTAAAAAGCTCCGTTCTAAGTTACCCATAACAAAAGAGGTAAAGGGAATTCATATTTGATGCAAAGTGTAATATTCTAGAAAAGTGAGCAATTTATCATTATTTTTTGTTTTTTCATATCAAATCTAGTTATTTCAAATTGCATTTAAAGATTAAACTGTTGTTTTCTGACTTCATCTGTGAAATGACCTTGAATATTATTGAAAGAAGCAAACAGTTATTGAAAAACTTAAAACTCCATGGTAAAAAAGAGAAAGAAATCAGAAACAATTTTCCTGAAAAATCAGTGGCTATGCATGGCTGAAAAACTTTGTCGATTATTCCTCCTATATAGTGAAAAATGACATATTTAAAGTATCTCTGTCATCTAATATGGCATATACAGGAAGATTATTGCTCAGACAAATACTAAAACTGAAAATATCAATAAAAACATAAAATACAATGTCAGCTTTGCAAAATATGTTAAATATCTCAATTTAAGGACGTGGCTAGACAAATTAAATATAGATATTTGGGAACAATTAATCACAGGGCTTATACACATTAGGGAAGGAAATGAAAATTTGATTTCTTGATTGGATTAAGTCGGTTTAATGAATGTTTTTTTAAATAAACTCATACCTCAGGACCATCAAGATCTCCAAACGCATCATCAAAGTCTGTTGGGCTTTTCTTCAGAGTCTGGTCAGCAGGCAGCGTGTTGTCATTGTAAGATGAAACAAACTTAAAGTCACTGGTTCTAGATCCTGTTGTCAGATACGCGTC